AAACTTTTTAGTAGCGCCTGTTGCGGTAAGACAAGGGGTAATGGTTTTAAACTAAAAGAGGGTAGATTGAGACTAGATGTAAGGAAGAAATTTTTTAGGATGAGGGTGGTGAAACACTGGCACAGGTTGCCCAGAGAGGTGGTTGATGCCCCATCCCTGGAAACGTTCAAGGTCAGGTTGGACGGGGCTCTGAGCAACCTGATCTAGCTGAAGATGTCCCTGCTCACTGCAGGGATGTTGGACTAGATGACTTTTAAAGGCCCCTTCCAACTTAAACCGTTCTATGATTCACATTTCCAAAAAATATGAAAAACTGGAGGGAAACAAGGTATCTTTGATTTGCTCTTGTGACATCAAAATACTAGAATGTGGAATAACTTTTTTCCAATCCAAGAGCTGAAAGTTTCCAAAAGAGCACAACAGCCAAAATTTCTAAGAAAAATGTGTTGCAGCACTCCAGAAGTGGATCGTGCAGACACAGGTTTTCAACTAGCATGCAGGTGTGCAATCCAGCAGAGCCCGCCTCCAAAAAATTCTGACCCAAAATCTCTTACTCAGTTATCTCCACAGCTCACTAGGCACACTAAGCAGTACAAAGCCTCCCCCTTCTTCTTCAGAAGATGGTAAACTTTCAGTCTAGAGATTCAACATGCATATAAACATAGACCATACCTCTTTTCAGGTGTTTTGCAAAATATCCACTCCACAGAGGGCTGGGGGTAGCTCTCAGATATGCACTCAATAGCATCCGATTTTTCCCTTTTCCTGAAATAGGGTTTGCCTGGTTTCTCTGTTAAAAAGTCATGCAAATGTTTAAGAATGCTGAAATAATTCTGAAACAGCGTTTTGCTCATTTGGCAGTACATGAAGTTACAGAGCTCTGATTTGTTTCAGGAGGTTTCACCACTGAGGGAATAGAAAATGATTCTGCCCTAGGGATATTGTGGGTTGGTCTCATGAGCTTTTCAGCCTTGATTGCTAAATGCACAGCTTCCCCCATATCAAAGGCCCGCCTCTATACACCAGAGGATAATCCTGAGACTGATACTGAAAGGTGTTAATTTGCTGTGGTTGCTATTCATTTCACTGGGCAGGAGCACAGATACCTTTCGAAATCACATCCCAAGCCCGTGGCCTTTGGTGGAGTATCTGTTGAGACTACAAAGTCTCTACACAAAATGGGATCTTGCATACTACTCAGTCAGATCAGATACACCATGGAAAACCAACAGGTGATAATGACTTCTGATAACCAGCAGACTTCTCTATCCTATATCTGTCACCCAGGGGGAAAAGGTTCCTAGACAACTCCCAGTACCCTGAACCCGTCAGGCACAGGCTTGGACTAAGCACAAAAATTTAATGTATTAAAATTGCGAAAGATTTGACTCAAAATGAAAAGCATTGAGTCTGGTTTTAGGTCATCTTGCAATGAAATTACGGCTTCCACACAGAAGAGCAACGTTTTCTTTAGAGTCATATTTCCATTGCCTGCAAGGTGACATGCTAAGGTGAAACCAATGCTTTTGGCCTTTTAATTTCTTTCTTCATTTATCTCTTGTAAGCTGGGCCTAAAAGGGTTTTTTTCACCTATAGAGAGTCACATCTCAGTTGAAGGATTCACATCTAGCCTGGAGGATTTTATGAGAGATGTAATTATCATATTAGATTCACAGGAGCAAAGAGAATGCAATCCAAGCAATCGATATGGAAAAGAACTTTATCGAGGCTGTTTCGAACTACTCTTGCTTGCACGTATACTAACTTTTTTTACCTCTAAAGCCTAACTGATATAGTAGAGAAGGTAATTTTTAATTGAAGATTTAATACTCCGTCCCCTCAATGAAGCTGTTAAAATTATAATTGGGACATGCAACAGGCCTTCAGATAAAACACAGAGAGACTGGAGGTGACACTTCTAACACCTGAGAGAGAAAAAAAGTCAAACAGAAGAAGTATTTTAAAAACAAATGAAGAGGGAATAAAAAATGTTGATTAGTCACAGTTTATTAAAAACAAGGCAAGGAATGATGCTTGCTGTTAAACCTGTCTCTAGAAGGGTCTGCCAGTCTTTTAGCTGTTCGGATTGATGTTTTGCCTTCTTTTCTTTGAAATTTCTTTTGAAAATTTTAATTTTCTCTTTGAGTTTGGTGCTTTCCAGACAAAATAATATAGTGTTTCTCTTCTGTTAAAAAAAATGTCAACGTGGGTCTTTTTTTTTAAGATGTTCTTGGACACCCCTACTTAGAAACAGAAGCTTGAACTTTGTTGCAGCAGTTGCCTTTGCATCAGAGATGCCTCTTGTGTGATCCTTGAGAAAATTCAATCAAATCTGCTCCCACTGCAAGCCTTTCAAAAAGTCGCACCTCCCACGTGCTCTTTCATGAGCATTTAACAGCAGTTAAAATCTCAGCTTCTCTGGCACCCTTGTGCTGAGCAGCTGCAGTACTGATGCATTTTACCCTAAAACCCAATAAACAAGTAAAGGCTGGCACTGAGAAAAGGGACCTTGTCTTTCCCCCTCCTTCAGTGGTGCCTCTTGCTGCCCAAAGAACAGCAAAAGGAAAAGCTATGAGAGAAGAGCAGAGACCCAGCGGCAGGCACAGGCGGAGGCAGGCAGAGTGGGACAAAGCATCACTTCGGAGCGCCAGAGACCAGAAAATAAAAGGGATGTCCTGATCTAGTCCAGATAACAGCCCAGCCGGCAACACCGAGGATAAACAGGTTAAGATGCAAGCAAACAAATCTCGCCCGTGAGCTTTGAGAGCACACAAAAGCCGCCCTCGATTTGTCCCTTTTGGTACAGAGGGAAATCTCTCATAGGGGAGAAGAGGGCTGCCACACATTTACATCTTTATTTGTTCATTTGCATGGTTTATTGACTAGCGAAAGCTGACTCTCACGCAGTCTGTGGTTTTGACTTCAGCCTCTGAAGACAGCTCCAAGTCCTATGCAAATCTAGGAAGATGCTTGAAATGCAGCACGTGGGAGCTTCGTTGCTTTGACTGAACTTGAACCTCTCCTCTTGAACCTATTGATGGAGTGACCCCTTTCATCTGAGATAGATATACTTACTTCGGATGAGAACAGGCACGACTATTGTGTAATTGCTGGTTTTACTTGTGACCGAGAGGGTGTATTTTCCAGCTTGTGCTTCTTTTATTTGGGAAAAAGCCAAAGACGTAACATATCTATAAAACAGAAAGTAAAGCTGTATTTGTTATCTAGAAGGTAATACGCAGCACGCACAATAAAACGTTAGCTCTTTAGCTCTTGCAAAATCCCTTCAGAGATACTAGTATTCATTATGTACGTGGCACCCTTCAACCTGAAGTGTTTTCATCACGTATGTTCCTACACAAGCAGCACATAGGAACTTGCAGCCACAGGTACCACATGCTTAATGCTGAGCATGGGGAAGGATGGTCTTCCTGACGTTAGGACAGCTGGGGGGGGTCCACAGGGAAATGCTTTACCTACAGTCCCATCCTGCATGTTTTGCAGGGGGAGGCAATAATCCAGCCTCAGGTTCCAGCCCAGGTTTGGCTGTGAGAATTAGGATGCTGTTGCTGCTGTTGTTTCTGATCTGCAGTGTGACCCTAACAAGTCACATAATTCTTCATGCCTCTGTTTTTTTGACTATAGAATCATAATTTTGCCTCACATGAGCGCTGCAAAGCTCAAATTGATCAATATCAGAGTGTCCATGGAGACCCCCATGCATGATGCTATACAATTTAAAGGAACAAGCCTATTTCAGACTATTTTTGGCTTTAGGATTCTTATGTGTCTGTGTCTAAATGACAATCAGCAATGTGCTGCCAGGTGACAACAATTAAGAAAGACTAGAATTTTTAAAAATATAATGTATTATATGAAATCAAACGCAAGCAGAGTCACAGAAAATATTCCATTTGCATCCTAACCCAAATGATCTCTTAAAGGATCTTTGATCCAGTACATCCCTTGACTTACCGATTCTCCGGGTCCAATGAAGGTTTACAAGCTTTGCTCTCTTTAAAGAACCAAAAGCATGAAATGATCTCTGAAATGTTCATTATCACTCTTAATTCAATATCTTCAAACATATTGACTTCCACATTTTTAGTTGGTTCATAGATGTTCTCTGCTCCTTCAGAATTCAAGTAACACCCAAGATCTTCCGAAATGGTAGAAATCTGCAATGCAAGAGGACAGATTGTTATCTATTTATTAGCAATTAGCTCTATTTGCTTTTTTTGCATTCAAATATTTTTAAAGGATGCTCTTCTGGAAAAGTTTTCATAAATTAATAATGCCTCATAATGCCCAAATATGACCACAGATTATACTGAAATAACACTTTCATCATACCTTCATTTTGTTTTTTTTTCATTTCTACTGTCCAATTTATTCATAAATATGTCAAATTCTAATGCAGGAGGAAACACTACAGGATTCCTGTTGAATTAGTTAATTCTGTTCTCTAGACAGACATCACAGAACAATTTTAGCCAGAAACTTGGTAATTTCCCTTAGTGATGTGGGCTATTCTTTACTCTGATTTTTGTTTCCTTTCATGTAGAACCATAGGAAGACAGAGAACTATAATACAACCTTTCTGTTTGCGACCTCAATGCAAAGGCAGGGCCAGAATATTATTTTTTTTAGCATCCCACTGCTTGTCACTGCACCATCTGGCTAGACTGCTCCTCAATTCCTTGGGGGCTTTACTAGGCAAGGAACGTTGGGGCTGGGCGCCTGTACATCTTTCATTTCCTCAACATTGCATACGGTTAAAGGAGAATCGCAAACAGAAAGTGAATATTCCACAGTCATTCTGAAAACCACCGATGAATTAATGAGTCTCTAAGCTTAGCTGCAGCAAGAGGTAGCAAGTAAATAGCTCCATGTGAAGAGTAGCTCTAAATGTCTCCCTTACTTTGGTGGGTGAAATTTATCCAGTATAACTTTATGAAAGGACAGAGCTTCTTGCAACCTCTGCTCTGCACTGTGCTGTGCCAGTTGGTTCTTCTTCTTTGCTCCTTCTTTGTCCCTTCCCTTGATCTGAGAAGTGTCTAGAGATAACAGCCATATTCTGCTTTGTCTGACACTAAGACAGCACAGCTTTGACTGGTATACATTCATTTGTTATCTGGATTATTGATTTATTTGTCCAGGAATGAAAAAAGATTTCATAAGACTAATTTGAAACAAGAATCCTCAGGAAATATTTTAATCGCGGGTCTCAGCTGCTTTATAATTTAGTTGCACACCACCTCTTCTTGGCCTTCTGCCGTTTTGAGTCAGAAGACAAGGAAAAAAAAAAGATATTTCATTCACTATCCAGCTTTGGTGCCTCAGTCAAGGTTTAGACCAGGCAGGGATTTATGGGCTTTAGTGGTAGGAATAGAAGGAGGTACAGCTTCCTCATCAGTCCCAGCAGCTGTGGCAAACACACACCACGGCAGGCCACTGGTTCACACCGTGGCCTTGGCAATCCCCTCTTAAGGGCACATAGTTTTTTACATTGATACATTTCCAGCAATATTCAGCAATATTCAGGCATGCTGATGTAAGACAGCATCAAGGCAGCAATTAAAAAAATCAGTTTTAGAGAAAACTGGTACTTATTTATTTACAGTTTCAAAGTATGAATTGTGGTACGTATTTCCCTCTAATTGACCTTTGCAGTCATATTTCACCTAACCCTGGTTATTTTGACTGTGACATCCTCACAGCCTAAAGGTTTAGGGTGTTGTAAGCTTCTGGGAAGGTATTTCTGGAATGGACAGGAATATTTTATAGACAGCTCATTCTCTGTTAGATTACCTTAGGAGATACCAATGTCTCTGGTGTTCCTGAACCTTCATCCTTCTGGCTGATAAACACACATGTAATCTCAGATGTGTTTTGAATCATTGCAGAAGTGAAAGTAACTGCTGTCATAACAAGAACTGTAAAACAGAAATAGAAAACAAATGTAATCGTGTCTAGATCTCTGCTCAGGGATAATAATTTTAGTAAAACTAAAATACAACAAACCTGTAGAAAGATTACATCTTTTTAAAAGCAAAAGGAATATGCAGATATATCGTGTGCATTTGCAAACTCTGAATTTGTGTGCTGAAGCTGAGTGGAAGCTCTATTTGGAGAACCTTTCAAAAGCATCACACTTTAGAAGTATGCCTCATAATATTGCATAAAACGCCTAAAGACAAAAGCCTCTATGTGTTATGGAGGTTCCTTTAGAAACTACATTATAAGACACAGGGTCCCTCTTGCAGATTGCTTCTGCATCAGTGTGTCTGAAGGGGCTCTGCAGCACCAAACCCTGCAGCTGCAGGTCAGCGTTTGCCCGTTGTGAGCCGGAGGATGATCATGCACCATCCCTCCCATCGGCACTACGGAGGTGTCCAAGTCCCCGAGCACGCCTCACTCCTGCTGAGAGCAACGGCAAAATAAAGTTCTCCAACTTGCAATGGCAAAATGTAGTCCTCCAGCTTGCCTCCAAGAGCCCACGCTCAGCTCACGCAAGGACTCAGGGTCTAGTTGTCCCTTTCCCTTCTCTCCAGGACAGGCTGTATGTGATCTGACAGACCGAACACTCTCCCGAGCTTTCCTGGCGTGGATTTGTGCACCCTAGCAGCTCGCAAGTGAGGTCCAGGTTAGATGCTTCTTCCCTGGAGCTGCCTTGTGGTCTTTCCCCTCCAGGAAGCAAACAAGGCAGCAATTCCCACTATTTTGAGGAAAGCAGATGCAGAAAGTGGAGAGCAGGGAAGAGTAAGCCCATGGCTTTCTGTTGCCTTCTCCTTCCTCCATACCTCCCTCTATAGCCTATAGAGCCCGGGCAGCTCACTTGTCAGCTCCCAGCCCTGGCAGGAGTAGCAAATGTAATTTCTCCTTATGCATAAGGAGCAGTGTGGGAAAGCTTCTGATGCCTCAAAGGCATCATCTTTCCGGAATGCTTCATATGAGCCTTTTTGCAGGGACTGCAGCTTGAAAAGTCACCTTTTAGCCTTAAAGGAGCTATATAGTAACCACGCCCCCACCATTGCACATAAACAAGAAAAACAGAAGTAAGACTGCACAACTGGCAGGGTGAAATGTGTCTGATTTCCATTCAGTCCCTAAAGCCAACGTTCAACAGTACAAATAAGCAATGAATCATAAAATAACATTTCTCTCCTGGCAACCTGGAATATTTCTGCCCTTGGCCCTTGGGTTTTCCCCCCCCCCCCCCCGGCCCTTACCTCCTGAGATGGTTGGACACAAAGCAAGGTGCAAAGTTGAAAGGAGAAAAAAAGGTAAATATATCAGGGAGCGCTTGAAGGGTGAAAATAATAAGACTGTTTCTGCAGGTGATGGAAGGAGCAAAACTGGAAGAAGGAAGAAATGAGTAAGAGTTGCTGCCATCTCCTCTCTGATGTTTGTGCCTTCTGGAGCTGCCCAAGCTCTAAGATGGCAACACTTTGACAACCTCTTCTCAGCCCTCTTGGCAAATGTGGATTAAGACTGTGTCCTTCTCATTCAGGCACCTAGCACACACTTCATTTTGGGTGCCACCTTTTCACAGTATACACAGAAAATGGTCTGCTTTTGCAGACTCCTGAGGAAGATCCCGTCCGTCTGTCTGTCATCCCTAAGAAAGGTGAACAGGACTTCTTTGTGGAGATGTGTATCTCCCTCCATTGCTAGAAAGATAAAGTTGGCAATTCTTGAGACAGCAAGTGCCAGAGCGTGGCTGAAAGGTAGGTATGCATTAGGTATCTACACCATGCATGCTGAATTCCTCCCCATCGATGCAACCCAAGTTTCCAGACCAGGAAAGGACTTTCACCAAGTCCTTCTCTGCTCAGCTTTCTCCACTTCTGTTGGTTTGTTGGCCACTTTATCTTCCACCCTTTTCAAAACAGAGAACATCTGACAGGCGCACAGCCAGGGGCTTAGCTGATGGAAACCCACCTACGTCCACTGATTTCCAAGACACTCCAGCTGAAACCACCTGAAAATACGACCTCAAAAGTTCAACTTGTTTGGCCTGTTGAGCATTCCCTTGCTTCAGCTTTCCGATCTGCAAATAGTTTTACCTTCTGATTGTACAAGCTGAACCAATTTATCCCCGGCATTACTCCACTTGAGTCGCATCGCCTTTTTAGCAGGATGTCTAATGCTGCAGTAGGAAAGGGAAAGATGTATTTGTACACCAACAGGGAAAAGATTTGCAGCTCTGAGTTAGGCAGAAGCAGACAGATGTAGTAACCAGACTGTGAGCAAGACATGCAAACAAGCTGTCTGATGAACTGGAACTGCATCTGTAAAGGACAGTATATGGGAGTATATGCTGGAAGAGGGAGTAGTGAGCACCCTGACACCCTCGAGTATAAGAGAAAATGGGACTCCCTGTCCTCTTAACTTCTAGAGCTTGTCACTGCTGTCCTCTGCCTTTATTCCTGTGAAATCAGGAAGGTTTTTAGAGTAAGGAAGGATATTTTGAACCTGAAATGATTCCAGTTGCCTTACAATGAGAAAAAATGAGTAATGTGATAGTCAGAAGCATTTATGTGACACGGAGTGGCCTAAACTTGCGTAGGTCTTCGAGAAATACATTACATTGACAAAATAGAAAGTGAGAGCATGAATAAGCCTTTCAGAAGAAGCAGAATCAAGAAAATAAATATTGGGAAAATGGTAATGCTCTGATTCACCACCTTGATCTTTCAGCTTCTAGTTGGCCTGTTCAGGGACTGCTGTTATGGTCTGCATGTCAGTCACCCTCCCGAAAGCCCAAAGAAAGAACTGCAGAGACTGAAAGCACTGGGTAACGAATATCAAATATGTAGTGTGCATAATCTTATTGTGTATTGCTGAACTGTAGCAAAGCTGGAATGGAAATAAATTGCTGCTTCTGAACAATCTTTGTTTATGCCTGCTTTCCATCTTCATTATCTTTTTATAGGTTATACAAAAATAAATGCAGTAGGAGAAAACTTGTTCTCACTGAAGTCAGAAAAACCTCTAGTTGCCATAAACCAAGTCAGAATTCCATCAAGATGTGTAGGCACATATATGGGGAAATGCCTGTACAAGTCAAAAAATGGACTTACATAGAATCATAGGATGGTTTGGGTTGGAAGGGACCTTAAAGACCACCTAGTTCCAACCCCCCTGCCATGGGCAGGGACACCTTCCACCAGACCAAGTTGCTCAAAGCCCCATCCAACCTGGCCTTGGACACTGCCAGGGATGGGGCATCCACAACCTCTCTGGGCAGCCTGTGCCAGTGCCTCACCACCCTCACAGTGAACAACTTCTTCCTTACATCTAATCTAGATCTACCTTCTTTGTTTCAAGCCATTACCCCTTGTCCTCTCACTACATGCCCTTGTAAAAAATCCCTCTCCAGCTTTCTTGTAGACCCCCGTTAGGTACTGGAAGGCTGCTGTAAGGTCTCCCTGGAGCCTTCTCTTCCCCAGGCTGAACGACCCCAACTCTCTCAGCCTGTCTTCATAGGAGAGGTTCTCCAGCCCTCTGACCATCTTCACGGCCCTTCTCTGGACCCGCTCCATGTTACAGGGCTGAGAAGAAAGGCCTGAATCTACTGAAGAGTTATCGAACCAAGAAGCTATGTTTAAGCTAATTCAGCTATGAGATGGTTAACCTAATGGAACTGCTTACAAAATGTAATTTTCAAATGGGTGTGACTAAAGTAGCTTTTGGACAACTGGGAAAGCCACTCCAAAATATGCTGAAAGTCTGAGTTTATCAGCAAGAGAATAGCTGAGGAACTGGAGCACTGTGAAGGATGAAGAGAAAACCTTTCTCTTTGGACCAAGGGATGCATCTTGTGTTTGTGTTCAGCTCAGGGTGCTTAGTATTTTACATAGCAGTCAGGCCTTTCCTAGACTTACAACAATCTTCCACTCCGCTTTACAGCTCAGGAGACTTACATAAAGCAAACCATGTTTTGCTTCCTATTTAGCTTCTGACTGGTTTCTCTGGGTGAGACTCTCTGGATCAACTTTCTGAAATTTTCTTCCTGATCAGGGAAGGTGGAAGGACCCTTTTCTCCAGTAAAGCTATAGTTCTCCCACAGTCATGTGCTGCCAGAAACAAACCTCTGAAAGTGGTGACATGGCTGAGCCTAATAAGCATGCATTAACTCTTAAAAAACCCCACTCCTTTGCATGTGGCCGCCTTTTTCTCAAATCACCCCCAAAGCGATAGATTCTGAAGTGAGAATTTTACTCAATATAAATATGATAAAAATCAGAGGGAGGCAGGATAGGTAGAAAGAACTGATCTTAAATGAATTCCTACCCTTCACCCATATCTCATTTCTCTCCCGTCAAACTTAACTTTTCTCCTTCCCCGTCTTTTAGCACACCGTCCTTCCTCGGTGTTTTCACCCTCCCAGCTTCCAAAAAAATGCAACCTGTGAGTTCACTCTCACATGATGATGGGGCCAGAGGTGTTGCTCTGTGTTGCGGAATAAAACCCGTGTTAGAACAAGGTTTAACAAGCGAGGTGGGTGACGAGCTGCCTCTGTTGCAGCTCACGCTAATCGTGACGAGTTGTTCTAACGCTGGATGGGGTACGTCTAGGTCAGGACCAGTCATTTATCTGGTCTTACCTGTTAATTACAAGAAACATCATGTGGCCTGTTTAATTATTCCCAGTCGTGTTCAGGCATGATTGAGATTTGAGATGGAAGAAGCCTATAGAGCGCGGTGGCGCTTGAGGAGGGTTTAGTGGAAGGGAACCAAGAATCTCCAGATTTGGGCTTCCGAGGAGGAAAGCAGTGAGAAGAGGGGAGCAGGGCAGGCCGTGCGGTTTCGGAAACTGCTTAATTAGGCTCTGTGTACCGAGTCAACACTAATAACGAGGAACCCCGGAGATATTACGCGGTGTCCCGGAATGCCGCCGTCCCGTTCGCCGTCGCACCGACCCTCCTCGGGAGTTATTTTTCCGCCTG